TGAAATCATATATGCTATTTTAGGGGGTCCGATTTTCAAAATAACGCCCATGAGCGTTATTCCGAGTTTATACGGTAAACGTTTTTCACCATCTTCTTCAATAACTTCTATGAAATCAGGACTAAAGCTCTTTAACCTAACAATTCCTTTTATTTCTAATTTATCGTATAGATCATCCGATACATCGAATGTTAATTGATATAAAAATTGCCCTACTTGGGCTTTTCGTAAAACTTCTCGTGCTTTAGAAGGATCTGTATCACTGTGATCAATTACTATCGAGTTTTTTTCCAACTGTTTTTTGACATTCTTTTTAATTTCTTCTATTCTATTTTTTGAGGCCTCCTTCAACGTTGAGTGATTTTTTTTTCGTTTATTATTCAAGAAATTCCATATTAATTTATCGCAGCTAAATTGACAATGTTTAAAAAAATCTGAGATTGAGATTGAAGGAATTTCTTCCGATCTATCTGAAATAAGCTATCAAATTGGAAATTATTAATAATGCGTATTTATAAAGTTTTAAAAGAAGGACTTGTTAGGATTTTACTAACTTGAGACATTTGCCGCGTAGTTTGCTGTCTGTTTCTAATCAAGCGTAGTTAACAGAAAAAAATCTTAAATAGCTTAAAATAAGTATTCTAATTCCCTTATTTGGGCAAATCTATCTACAATACAGCACACCTGCATAATTGAGTATTGACTAGACTATAAAGTGTGGTTCGATAATCCTACAATAAGAAAATTCAAAAATAAGATCGTAAATGACGTACTTTTTATAGTCTAGTCAATACACAAATGATGTAATATGATTAATGTGCATTCATGTATATGCTGCGTATTCATACATATAAATAAGCAATTTTTACTAATTAATTCATTAACTATTAAATCAAAACACCAATTGATAATTTTGCAACCCTTCTGACATAACGATCAAGGATGAAAATTTATTGTGGGCGGGACGCACTTACCAGAAATGGAGTACAACGAAATGTATGATTATCTGAAGAGTTAAATTATGTGTGCAAATACATTCTTCTAATTAGTTACACGTGATTCTACCCGGATTTATTGAGACACAAATCGCTGCATTTTATTTAATTGGCCATTTATAAATAACTACGTTCAAGTTACGTTCAAGTTATATCTTGTTTTTACTTGATTTATTCTTATCTCGATATTTTTATTAGCTTACCAGTGCGCATCAGCTTACGTAATGTTTTGATGATTGACCAATCAAATCGCCAAGTTTTGATCATCTCGGATCAGCCCGCGAAAAAAGAGAAAAAAAGAAAAAAAAAAAATACAAAAAATACAAGAAACAGGATTCAAAATCCACTTTGGAGTATTAATAAAAGTGTCGGGAGGGATATTTTACATATATAATCCCCTAAACCTAAATTTAATTAAAAATTTATTAAATCACATGTGATGAACAAATTGATGCATGATGTGTATATGGTTATATTTGGAGATGTTATCCTGCAGCTCTCGAACTCAGTTAATGTATATGTATTAATAATTATGCTTGCATAAACAATCCTGTTATCGCTATTACTATTTATTAAAGCACATATATAAAATTTACCTTTAAAAATATATAATTTTTTGCATAATCAGTTATAAATTTATTGTATCTTTATCCGGCAACTCTTATGATCATGAATTGCCATCTGCCTTGTTATTTTTTCATGTGTTACGATGTAATTATGTTTATTCAAATTAAAACTCAGTCGATGATTCCCTACCAATCATGATCATAAATTGCCGGATAAGACTAATATTGGGCAATTTGTCGAATACTAATACGATAATTTGGCTCAACCGGAGCTTACATAGCGTCGCCTAGGAAAAATGGTAGCTGGACAAATTTGCCGGTTTCAGATACTGATATTTGATAATGATAATTGAATACTGACCAATCATTCTAAGGAATTTTTTAACAATGGAAGTGATTACATACATACGTAGTAATTATTATTAAAATTTCCTTTTATATCAATTTCCTTATCATTTTACTACTCTATTACTTTCGCTCTTTTTTCTAATTCTATTGTCATATGCAAAAAAAATTCATCAACTTATTCAAAAAATTTCAATAAAATAAAATAAAAAATAAATAACTTATAATAATAGTACCATACGAACAAATATATTAATTATGTCAAATCCGCAAAAAAAAATTTGTTTCGGGTGTCATACCATTCGAAGTTCTGATGAATTCCTAAGTAAAAAAGGAGCTTCTGCAAAAAAATGTTACCAATGTCGAAACAATATCAAAATTGCACGGTCAAAAAATAATGAAAACCAATTTGATTCAATAATTAGCTATTTGGAGATTACAGACACTATATATAGCTCTCTAATTTCTTTAAATAATACTAATGAACACTATGAATGAGAAAATGAAGAGCTAAATATAGATTTTAATGTTGAACTATTATCTCTCGCTGATTTTATTTTAGAACAAGATGAATCGCAAAAAGAAAATATAAATTCTAAAATGAATCAGCAAATAATATCTTTTATTTCAGAAGGTGATGGTTATTCATGGGTCTATCGGAATAAATATCAAAAAAAAACTCTCTTTTCTTCATATATTATTGTAACTATCGAATTGAGCTTGGAAAGCAGCAAGCAAAGCATCCTGTACCAGATAAACAGAGAGACACACCAACATTCTTAGAATAATTTAATTGTGAAGGAATAATAACGATTGAAATTCTTTTTACATTAAATGTAATTAAGGTTAAATACTCTCATAAAATATTGTATCTTAGACCACAACATACAAGAACAACTCAAGAAATTCAAGATTTCATTTGAAATAATATTAATTGTTCTGTCTCAGAAATTTGGCATAAGATTTGAAAAAATCAAATTGAAGGGCATGAATATATAACAGTTCAACAAGTATATTATTGGTGGTTCATCGAGTCTCACAAACTGTATCAACATGATTCCAATTCCTTATTATCAGCAAAATATTTATTAATTGAGTTTGGCCAAGAAATCCTTATAGATATTGATTTATCTACACCTGCTATTGGATTTTTAACAGCATTGTTTCACCATTTATTAAATAATAAATTCAATGCAATTGAAATTGATGCAACATTTGGTACTAATAATTCAGGTTGGAAATTATATGCTATTATAGGTGTAATAGATGATACTAGTTTTCCTCTTAGCTACCTTTTAATTTCAGTTGGAAAAAATAGAAACATAACAGAAATTCTTATAAGGTGGATACAAACTTTAAAGGATCGTAATTTAAAAGAATTTTCTTTTATTTTAACAGATAAAAATTTTGTTAAAACCAGCACAACACAAATTGTGTGGCCTGAAGCTCGCTTACAATTATGCAGTTGACATATTCGTTGTGCAATAAAACAATGATTAGCATTCAATAAAACAAGCATTTATTATTCATATATTTCAAAACATGCTCATAATGAATGTTCAACAATAGATCCTCATTGGAGAATTGTAAGCGATTCAAATACATAAGTATTTTGCCCTCTAAATTTGCAAGAAGATATATTTAATCTTATAGAAAAACATTCAAATTAACATATACTATTACCGAAATCAGATGGCACTTAATGCAAATCATATTTGGGAAGAATGTGTTGGTGAGATGATGTTGTTTTGTCAAAGTAATAATTTACTTAAATTATAGATCTATTTATAGAAAGAATAGTATTTTAAAAACAAATGTATTTTATGGGCCCGGGCAGCTAGTAAAAGTATTAGTCATATCAAAACTACGATGATAATTGAGTCGCATTGGCAATATATGAAGCATGATCATTTATATAAATTTCATAAACCACAGATCGATCATTTATGTTACATTCTCGTAAAAAAGGTTATTAATTAGCAATTATATCAGCTTAAATTACTCCAACAAGGTCGTTATACAGTACCATGACGAAAAGAATTTAAAAAGGAATGGAGAAATCTAAAAAAAAAACAGATTGAAAGAAATAACAAATATTTTACAAATCTGTTAGATGGACATGTGCATTTCCTGCATTTATTAAAAGCCAGTTTTTCATATGCAAACATTTAGTCAATTCTGTTGAAAAAGCTGATGCGATATTTTTTAAAAAGGTAAAATAAATAAATATATATATATTTTATTTATATTAATATTTTTATTCTATAATTTAATAATTTAATACATTTTTATTCT